CATAAAAGGCAGCTTAGTCCAATAGAAGCTGCACAAATATTCACCTTGTTTTATAAAACTTTAGTTTTAGTTTTATCAACTTCTCAACTTGCCAAACTTTAATTTTAACCACATATTTCATTTTTATCAACTTTTTAACCAAACATTTCATTATCTTTTATGAAAATCTGCTAAAACTTTTATCAAAAGCTTTGCCCCACAGGCCCATTATAATCAATATCCTAAAGATACAAGATATAGAAGCTACCATATAAATACATTCTGCCATCATAAATTGAGAGAGGAATACATATGAAACTGGATGGAACTGTTCTTCCTTTTTCACGTGCTTTAGAGACCTATTGATTATTTGTAATGATGTCATATTATATGTAACATCATTTTTAATCGTGATATTTGGTGCTTTTGTTTGGCGTACTGAACCACCTATTGTCTTTAAATAGTTGTTTTCTCTTGATGTTATGTAGCTTCTCTTCGCTTTCTTATTTGTATATTTTACAGAATTAGGATACAGAACAATTTTAATTTATACTTGATTTGTACAATATTTTCCTCAATGTTATGCATAATGTATAGCTAGGCCGTGTATGTAGCATGAGATCATAAAGAACAAGTGTAGTTCAACATTGTAAGTTGAATTCAGAACAAATACTGAAAAGGAAAGACTGGTTCAATAACATTAATAAGAGGTGCTAAGAATACCACAGAATTGAAAATGAAAATATGTTGATTAACTTTGCCTAGATAGATGAATTAAGGGTTAATTTTCCAAATTCGAGAATCACAATAAGAAAGAGAATATTTCAGCAGCCAATTATCTAGTTAAATAAATGAGAAAGACATAGAAATCATGAAATTACCAAGAATAAAACAGTTGCACAGTATTTGAGAACTTCAAGATTCATCCGAACATCATCTAAGCTCCTGAATGTAATAACAGAACATATTAATGATAGGAAAATACAATGGGTTGAAAGTGCATATATAGAATAATGCAAAGGTAGACTTGCCTATGTGTTTGCTGGCCAAGTCCAAAGTAGGTTGCAAGAGAGGCCATCTGGGCAAAATAATACCTTAACATCAGTATAAAAATGATTTGCCAATAAAGCTAATTACACAAACTACTTCTATCAATATACATTCTACATGGCTCCACAATTCGAGATATTAGAAATGTTGAAAGAAGTTTCAAGCAAAAAAGAACAAACAACTCTTGTTTTACTCATAAATTAGAAAGATAAACAAATTGAGAAAATACCAAACAAGATTGTATACCATCTAAAAAATTTAATAGAATAAATCTCATACAGATGTTTTGCCTTCAACAATGTCGTGCTTCAAAGAAAAAAAAAGTAAGTGTTTCGTGCGGAGATGAATAAAACATAGTAAACTTCAATAGAAATGTTAAGTGCAATTTGACCACCTAAATATTGCTTAACCCATATTTTAGGAACTAGAATAAGTTTACATCTATGCACACACATTCAGTTACTTAACAGCTAAGTTTCAACTCCTGAAGTCAATTGTGAGACTTGAATAAGTAAAGTAGAAGGCCAGAGATCTCAAATGTGGGAATAAATATAAAAAATAAATAAATAAAAATTCAAAAATTAACAATATCATTCAGATTCCCCGAGCCAACTGTTTGTTATTCGATGTCACAATTTTTGGGTTATATTCTTCCAAATCATATCTCATGAAAAATATCGTCCCAAAATGTTGATGCATTATTCTCTTTCTTGTTATTTTGAAAAAGATCCAATTTTAACTAATGTGCAGAAGGATTCCACCTTCATGTCGCCAGCTCTCCTTCCAAACTTTTGCGTCAATATTGCCAATGAATCAATGGTTCCCTTTGGCTCAGGAGCAGGCCTGTTAATCTCTGCAAATGCCTCCCTTATGCGAGCACAATCAAATCTCAATATATTATGACCTGCCCATATCCTCCCTACACACACAAGAGATAACAGGAAAAACCAAATTGGTGTTCAAAATCCCAAACATCCAAAAAAGAAAAATTCCTCAGAGACGTGTGAAATCAAAATAAAAATAAGATAAAAAGAACCAATTAAATAACCTCAGTATTTTAGGTGTCCAAAAGAACCTAAACATACCTAGTGCTATCTAGTTGAGGATAATCTCGAGAAAAAACAAGAATAACAGTAATAAATCCAGCCATTACCTTGAAATGAAGTAATTCTCTTCTTGATTATCATATTATCCTATTTATTTTTCCATTATCAGAATACAGGGTGTGAGAAGAAATTCACAAGGTTTATTAAGAGTTAATACCCAGGAGCCTAGAATCTCCCCAACTACAAAACAATAAGAAAGCTAAACCTTCAAAATAAAATGGAAGAATTTAATGCATTCCAATCAAATATTCACACACCACTAATGTAAACCTAGAAATGTGCCATGGTTTGTCCTTTGGATATCCTAGTTCAACTTTTTCTATGCAGCTCAATCCTTTGCACTCAAGCATAACGATTTATTTTGTGTTCCAACATCACAAATTTGAAGTTGATAGTATTTTCACATTTCTCCATTGTTGGAACTTTAATGGTGTTATTCCCTAATAAAAAAATGCTTAAAGAGTATGCTAAAAACTGAATTTGATAAAAAAAAAAACAGTCAAATTAGGAAACTGCAACCCAAGGCGTTTATATGAGCCATAAAAATCATTTTCGAGTCGGATACAATGTTCCTTCCAATTTTGCTTTTCGACTTCCTTCTAACACTTTTCTATTAAAAGTTTGATTCGCCATGCCCCATTGCATAAATTCCTCTAAACTTAAAGCATATATAAATTACAGCAACACAAAATGTAAGGGCAAATTAAGTGAATCAAAATGAACATACAACTCCACCCCCATATACTTCCCCATACATAGAATTGAAATGTGCTTTTACCATGAAGAACGTTATAGACCGTATCAGCGATATCCATGAAACTGGGGGCTGAAATTACAGCCTCCTTCGTAATGCCATTACAGCGAACAGAGAGAGTCGAAATATGTGAGAGGTCAGCGGGTCGGACCAAGGTAGAGAAGCTCTGAAGCTCCACCAGCTTCCTGGGGCAAACCAAAATGGCTCCGAATTCCAATAAAGCGAAACCCTGTCCGGATCGAGTCGGCACCGTCGTCTCCACGTCAAAGAAGGCAATTTCTGACCTATCCTCGCTCGTTCCCACCATTTTCAATTCAATTTTTTCCATCAAACAGTGGCTCCGAATTTGAAAAGTGGGATTCAATATATGTATACGTATATATATGTGTATTTGCAGTACGGAATCTGAGGTAGCTTGCAGAGGAAGAAGGTTTTGGAGCGGAAAGATAGATGGTTTAGTACTCTAACAGAGTCGTGTACTGTAGGAGAAGAAGAAGAATATCGCGTGAAATGCGACTTACGGAAGAGGGAAACGTGTGGTGTTACTTTTGTACCCCTACACAAGGAATCAATTCCATATTTTGCAAGGTCGACCTAGAAATTTTGAATCCTAGTAGAATGGTTGTGTATTATGGCGAACAAAATCGATGAAACTGATAAAGAGTGAATGGAAAGAAAAAAACACAATTGCAATGCAATATTTTCATATTTTGAGAATCGGAGTAAATTGAACGATTCAACGAAATATACGTTTAATTATCAGATAACCATTCAACAATATTTGAGAAAAAAATATTCTTGACTTAGTTTAGAGTATATCTCATAATGGATTCAATTCAAAGGAAATTAGAGTTCTTCTTGGCTTGAAAATGCCCAATTCCTAGCATATTCTTTTCTTTTGAGTGTGTGTAATCTTGCACCATAGGCAACCTCCCCAATTGATTACGTGCATGATTGACAAAGTTCACATGCAGGTATTTTAGTGTCAATTGTTGTCCTTCAATTGATGAGAAAATCCACATTCAAGTTGGATTAAAAATAATTTTCCTTTATCGACAATGTCTTGAATCGAGTAAGTATTAATTTCTAATAAGTAAATTCACTTGTAACATGCTCCAAGGATGAGTGTGACCTATAGTCATAGAAGCACGACTTTAACTATGTTAGTAAGCATTGCAACATCCTTATACCTATTACAATTATATGAATATCCAGTATTATGACAGCACCAATGTCTATGGAATTTATAATTTAGCTAAAATTGTCAAATCCACTTATCTCCAATGATGGTGTAAATTGATATTTTCAAAATTATTTTTGCATTCTTCAAATTCTATTCCAATAAAAAGATCTAAATCCACTTTTTGCTTTTTGCGAATGTAAAAAAATGTAAATTTTAATATATTTTTTTTACATTTTTTATTGAAAAATACAATTTGCATATCCTTTCATCTCTTTATTGGAGAGGTTTTCGACCACTTTAAATATCGAAATCTTTATTTTATACCACCACTTTGAAATGTTTTTGGCCACTGCCTATTATCGAGTGACCTTACATTTTAACGCTTGTTTTCATAGTTTTACGAGATTTCTTGATTTGCACTATTGACATGGGATTCTTGTGAAATCTTTGCGTGCAACCCAAGAGCATCTTCAATGAAACAATGTAGTAAGAAAAATAAGAATGAAGAGAAGCATATCTAACAAGGATGTAGATAGCACGTGGGCTACATGTACAAGAAAGGAGACGTAGAATGCACTATCCATGGGTCACTCGTAAATATTTTGATCAAATAACACATACAATTATCGTAGAATAATGTTGCTTTGTCAGAAAGTAGGTAACATAATGATTGACATAATAGGTGTTGACAAGATATGATTTGATGAAAAAGCTGACTGTATTTTAAACAATTCAATAATAAGTTGTCATGTAACATTATGTCAAGAATTATATCAATATTATGTCTACTTAGCATCCATTTATGAACATTCCAATCATGATTGTATTTATTTTGTCTAAATAAATCCCAACTTAAAAAGGAATTTCTAGGACAATAAGCAGCTACAAACAGCAATGGAAACAAGAAAATTTACTAGCACCTGAGCAAATGTTGAACCTTTTCCCACCCAAAATCAAACCCATCCTTAACGAAAAATCCTTTTTGGCTTTCTTACTATCGTCAAAAACAAGGGCATTTTCTTCACCTCCCTCGTCCTCTTCCTTGTACTTGTCAAATTTGATCGCTGGAATACTCAATTCCAAGAACCCGAGGCAAGCACTCAAACTGTTTAACTCAGCATCGAGAACCATAAACCCCTTGAAGACTTTAAAACTTCATTCTGCTGTAATATACTGCTTAACTGAAGCAAAATTATATGTGAAAGCAAGATGTTTGATAAAAGACCTCATTGAAACATTGCTGCAGAACCGGAAGCCCCACAAAGTTTGTTCATCGATTTTCAATGCGTTTAATCAATTTGAGAGTGGAGGAAGTAATATAAATGTGTTTGGAGTGTTGATCATTGCTTTATGCGAAAAGGGTCTTGTCGATGAGGCTTATTGGGTGTACCAAAAGATAAGAAGATTGCCTGCTACTCAGGCTTGTAATGCAATTTTAGATGGGTTTCTTAAGGCGGGACGGGTTGAATTCATGTGGGAAGTTTATGGACGAATGGTGTCAAATGGCATGTTGCCTACCGATGTAAGCTACGGGATATTAATTGATGCTTGTTGTGATCTGGGGGATAATGCAAGAGCGAACGTATTGTTTGACGAGATGGTTGAAAAGGGGTTGAAACCAACAGTTGTGATTTACACGACACTGATCCGTGGCCTGTGTGAGGAGGGTCGGATGTTGGAAGGAGGTAACTACTTGAGGCGAATGCAAGAGGTTGGAGTGGTCCCTAATGTGTACACTTACAATACTCTGATGGACGGGTATGCTAAGAAGGCTAGTGTTGAGAAAGTGCTTCAATTGTATCGCGAGATGTTGGATCATGACGCACTGCCAAACGTTGTTACCTATTGTATCCTAATCCATTTATTTTGCAGAATTGGTGAAATTGTGGCAGTTAGGAGCTATTTTGTGCATATGGTGAAGTTAAGCGTCGTTCCTAATGTGTACATATATAATTGTTTAATGAATGGATTCAATAGCGATGGCAATCTATCTGCTGCTCTAGATATGTTTTATGAGATGGAGAAATTTAGTATTTCTCCTGATGTTTTCACGTATGGCACACTTATAAAGGGCTACTGTAATATTGGCAGACTGGAAGATGCAGAACATTTATTAAGGAAGATGAACGATACAGGAGTTTATGTGAATTTGGTCGTGTACAATACACTAATTGACGGGTTATGCAAGGAAGGAAGTGTCGAGAGAGGTTTGGAATTGTGTTCTCAAATGTTGGAAAAGGGTGTGCAGCCTGACATAGTTACTTTTTGTACCTTGATAAATGGTTATTGCAAAGTAGGAAAGATGGAGGCTGCAATGGGACTATATAATGAAATGGCAATTAAAGGTTACCAGCCTGATGTTGTTGCTTATACTTCTTTGATCGATGGGCACTTCAAGAATGGTAACTTAAGTGCAGCTCTTCAATTGCACAAGGAAATGATAAAGGCTGGTGTCACCCCTAATGCGTATACAGCTAGTTGTTTGATTGACGGGCTTTGCAAGAATGGAAGAATCAATGATGCAGTTAAAATTTTCTTGGAAAACAGAGCCGGATTCACTGGCACTGAACTAGAGCTGTCGACGAGTAGTTTTTCAGGGCGTTGTTCCCCACTTCACATCATGTATTCTGCCCTAATTAATGGTTTGTGCAGAGATGGTCGAATTTTTAAGGCCAGTAAGTTTTTTGCAGAAATGAGAAGCAGTGGTTTATACCCGGATGTCTCCAATTATGCCGTCATCTTACAGGGTCATTTAGATGTGAAGCATATGTTTGCTGTCATGATGCTGCAAGCAGATATACTAAAGATGGGCACCTTTCCAAACTCGTTCATGTACAAGGTATTAAATAGAGGTTATCAGGAGTTTGGAGATTTTGCATCAGCTCTGAAGATTCGCGATGATTTGTTGAATTCGGGTCTAGAAGATTCGAGCCTCTGTTTTAAGGAGTCTTTTGAGTTATGTAAACAATAATTTACGCAGAGATTCGGGATAATAAATTGCTTTTTAGCCTTTAATGGCATCGTTTTCTTCATTCAATTATGAAAAGAAAATTAATCTTTCCATTACCAAAGCCACACTCCGAAGCTTAAGCAGCATTTACAATAGCAAATATCAGAAGCTTGTTTGAGTACCCGAATGAGTAAAATGGCTTTGTTCTTTGAGCTCAATTTTAGGTTCACGCTGTTCCAGGCAACTGGACAAACGGACCTTTAAAATCGTCTTGTAAGAAAATAGTGTCCAATGTGTTTATGACTTGATAAAGCAGATGTTCTACAAGCTATATGAGACTCAAGTGCAGTCTTTACAATCCACGACATTGAGAATATATTAGACTTCCATTAAAATAATCTTCCTCAAGTTGCATCAGCTTAAAAATACTTCGATATGACAATTCTATGTGTAAATGAAGTAGGACCTTCCGCTCAAATCACAATAACTCGAATCTTGGACCATTCAAATTAAAATATTGAGTGGTTTCGTCCACCCACTTTGTCTCTCTTATCCACCCGGCATTCGAGGTATCAAAATTTGAGCGGTTCAAAGTTCGAGATGTCGTGATTTGAGTGGCAGATCTTGTTACGTGTGCACATAGTACCATTGACTCCAACGGATTATTTTCCACACACAAGTCATGCTTTCCACGGGCGAACTCAAACTTGAAAGTAGTGGTTCCTCACTGACATATGAACACAGAACAATTGGAAACCATGTTTTTCATCTTACAATCCAGATGATTAGAATCTTAAACCGTGTCTTCAGTAGAAAACAATCTCGTATTCACTTCCATACATACCTCAGGAAAGAAAGACCCAATCAAACCCTTAAAAATTATCTCAAATCCAATCCCACAAAAACTTTGTTGCTGGTCAAAGAATTGTTGACAACAAAGCCATCTGTAATTGATAGCTATTCTCTTTTATACGCCACAAAAGCATGCATTCAAAAATCCTTGGTTAGAGAAGGAATGCAAACTCATAGCCTTGTTATTAAACTTGGCTATGAATCTATAATTATCCTTCAAACATCGTTAATTGGTGTTTATTCGTCGATGGGAAATCTTGATGATGCACACCACGTGTTTGAGGAAATTCCTAGCAAGAATGTCATTTGCTGGACAGCATTGATTGCTGCCTGTGTTGATAATCAGGACTCAAACAATGCTTTACAGATGTTCAGAAAAATGCAAAGGGACAATGTGGAGCCTGATCGAGTTACTCTCACAGTCGCGTTATCAGCGTGCGCTGATCTTGGTGCATTGGAAATGGGTGAGTGGATTCATGCTTTTATTCGACGAAAAAGAGAGTTGAAGGCAGATTTAAGCCTAAACAATGCACTCATAAACATGTATACAAAATGTGGGGATATCAGGACTGCTAAGCAAATGTTTGACAGCATGAAAATTAAGGATGTCACAACTTGGACATCAATTATTGTGGGGCATGCAATACATGGCCAAGCACATGAAGCACTGCAAACTTTTGCTGCCATGGAAGAAGAAAGCAAGAAGATGATAGCCAAGAAACACGGTCATTTCCTCATTCCTAAACCTAACGATGTTACTTTTATTGGTGTCTTGATGGCTTGTAGCCACGCAGGGTTGGTTGAAGAGGGCAAGAGATACATTAAAAGTATGATAGAGGATTATGGGCTAAAGCCTCGGAACTCTCATTTTGGCTGCATGGTGGACATTTTTTGTCGAGGTGGGCTGTTAAGTGAAGCATACGAGTTCATTTTGGCAATGCCCATAAAGCCAAACGCAGTTATATGGAGGACACTGCTCGGGGCGTGTGGCATTCATGGCTATGTAGAACTTGCATCAGTCACTTATAATAAGCTTCTTGAATTGGAACAGAGCCTCGTTGGGGATGATATTGTGATGTCTAACATCTATAGTGCAAAAGGGATGTGGGATAAGAAATTGATAGTTAGAAATGGGATAAAACAGAGGAGGGCTCCTGGCTGCAGCTCAATTGAGTTGGAGAATTGTATTCATGAGTTTGTTAGTGCAGATGATGATCATCCTATGGCAAATGAATTCTACATGGTTCTTCAGCATTTGATGGAAAATATGAGTACACATAGCTATGATCTCGAGTTGTCTAGCTTGTTCTAGAATTGTACAACGTTCTGAGTAGAAATTCTTTGAATTATGCATTCAATGTGAACATTTTTAGAGAAATATGTTTGTTTCATGCGTAAGTATACGATTTTTTTATTGACCTCTAGAGAAAAACAAGATTGAAATTTTTTAGCATAAATGATCGCCGTACTTACAAAGTGATCATTGACCACAAATCTGCTAGTCGATTTAATGAATTTGATGATGTATCGTGTGGTGAGACTTTTGTGAATTTATTTATAGATGGAAAAATTGGATTACTCTAGGAATCACAGAAATGAACATTGTGAACGATCATTTATGAAAAAATAATACAAGTAATTCTGTGTCAAATGGTACAATGTACAACCTATGAATCTGCAACATATACATGAAAGAAGTTTCTTTAAAGTGGGCATATAAACAAATCCCTTAAAGAGCAAAATATGTTACAGACATTGCGTCTCACAACAGGTCTAAACTATGTTTCTTACTGGTCTTATTTTCGACTTCAGAGGAATCCCTCCTTTAACAGTTTATCTTACAACAACATTCAATATTTCGCTCTAGCTCGTCCCATATTTTATCTGCAACAAAAAGTAGACAGATGTTCGATGAAATGAAGAAAGGTAAAGGCAACAAGAAATCAGTTAGCAGAGTCGAGCAGCCTTAATGAGCTCAAAGTTTGCACATAGAGTAGTAGGGTGGACAAATACATTATTTCATCATAATGTATCTGTCGTTATAGCATACATTTTTATCGACTCGCTAATATGATTTCAGGTACCTGGGAATCAAGGGCACACGACAACTTGAACATTTTGAATGAAAATTTTATACTGGAACTGCAACAGGCCTTTTGCTGGTTTTGATTCCTTTAATGGCTGTAACACAACAAAATGTACAGGAGAAAGTCAAGATACATCACGAAATTACCGAATTCTTCCTAACCAACACTTGAGACGAAATTGTTTTATTCTTGCCTGCAGCGTAATCTGGAGCTCCAAAGACAGCGGATCCAGCAACTAATGCATTGGCCCCAGCCTCAATAACCTGTCAAAAATGGTCAAGTTTTAACCAAGCCCAACTTAGTTCATCTGAATGTGTTTGCAGGGGGACAATGTAAACTAGACACGAAACAACATGAGTTCACCTATGACCTCGACGGAGGATGGGCTTTAGCCTTAGTGTCAGAATATGATTTAATTCCTAATAATTATTCGGATGAGATGTAGTATGAAATTATAAACTGCTAAGAAATCAAAATAACCAAAGTCGAACATCTGAGTAGTATTAGACCTTGAATAATCAAAATATCCTATTTTGTATCCTTCTATTTTCCCTTTCAATCATTTATACTTCATTTCTTGAGGTTTTTCTTGTACATTTTTCTATTTACACTCAAGCAGGCCAATTCAGTGTAGAAAAATAAAATTAAATAAGCATGAGCTTTATCTTATAAATTTCACAGTTCTACCATCAGGGCCTTCTCTGCATATTACCTCATAAAGCTAGATGTACAGACAGGAACAACACTCCCCTAAAGTCCAATTAGAAGATACACAAAATATCGCCAAATAACAATAAATGGAAACCCCAACATTGACGGCTGAAAAAATCAACAAAGATGGAAAAGAGAGATGGGAGAGAGGGTGGGGTGCTAAGAGAGAGAGAGTGATCAAAATGGCTGACCTTATAAGCATTTTTAGGACCAACTCCACCATCGACCTCGATCCAGGGGTTCACTCCCTGCATAACAAACAAAAGAATATGATTTCTTCTCAAATCATTGCTGATGGACCCGATAGAAACATTCACTACCTTCTCTGCACACATTCTTCTCAAGTCTGATATTTTCTTAACTTGGCTCTCAATGAAGCTCTGCCCGCCAAATCCAGGGTTTACAGACATAATCAATACTAGATCAACCACTGTTAGTTGAAAAAGAGAAAATGTTATATTATGTAATTCGCAGACCAAATAAATTTTATCGGTTGGTCACTTCTTAAAATATAATTTGATTAACAGTTTGAGTTTTTGCAAATTCAGTTTGTCCAGTGGGACCTATACCCCACTACAACTGATTTCATGATTTATCCTCCATTTGGGAAGATTTTAGAAACGATTTAATTTATAAATCAATATAAATAAGTGATGAATAAGTAGATAGTACTTGTGGATTTAATGGAATGTTGATTGAAAGTGAAGTTTGACCATTTATAAATTTTGGCAAACGGAAGCTTAGCATTTTGCTTGATGTTCAAGTTACAAAGGTATGAATTTTCGGTTGTATTACATGTACAACACAATTTACAGATTTGTTTATCAACGGATGAGTGACAAGATTTGATTGAATCAAAATCTCACCAACCAAATAAAAAAAGTTCCCCCAATTTCGTTTTGCCATTAACCCACACTGCATAAGAAAAACCGTTTTAAGTGGTGAAGAGATTATGACAGTTTTAATTTAACTTATCGCCACCTCATCAATCTGTAAAAGAATCTATAAATGGTAATGTACAACAAGCATTTTCCAAAAATTTTATACTTATCATTTCTTTTGTCAAATTTATATCCGAGACCTCTTATTGTAGCCTTTAGTCAATGTTGGTCTTAACCATGTTGACCACAAGGAGCACTACGAAAAGGACATTTGAACCTTCTAGTCACGAAATAATCTCACCATCAAGAACATATTCTATGGCACTTAATGGAGTTCCAGGGTTCAGAACAACTCCAGCTTTAGCACCCAGGCCCTTAACCTAAATTGTATGACAAAGTCATCAGAAACATAGCTACCGAAAGAGAATGTCAACTTGATCACTCAAACAGGAAATGCAAGAAATAAAACTAAAGCTGGAGTAATCCAATT